TATCTAGTAACATACTAATAACTATCAGGTATTTACATTCTTAAAATAATACTACTTTTTATATGTTTATCCTAATTAATTTAGTTTCTTCTCTTATCAAAAACTATCTATTATAAATTTGAACAGCAAGACACAAATGAAGCATTTATATAAAATTTTTTTAACTTTCATACAGATATGGTAATTTATATGGGTTATATAGACCACCTTCATGTTCTATTAACTACTATACGTGAGATTGTTGATACGCTATGTGAAGGAACACATTTATTTTCTTTTTAATAATGATAACCAATATTATATATGCTACTAGCATTTCCCATCTTTGCTATATTTTTTTTTTGATAAAAATAAATACCTTGTGTTTGTTCATTCTTTTTAATTCCAATTCCTTTTCTGGCATTATATATGCTGCTGGAGTTCCCAACCTCTGTTAAGTTTTTTTAAATTCTTTATATTCATCCTTTTCAACTCCAATTTCTTTTCAATAATAATATATGTGCTACTACTAGTATTCCTCATTCACTACGTATCTAATTTTACTAATCATCAAGTGAACATGTGATATTGCTCACCTTTACTAAAGATTCCTTTAGAAATTCTTAAATTACATATTTTTTAATAGAGGGTTTTTTTTAACTTGATTGAAATATTATTTAATATTGGTTAAATAGTACTAATAGTAAAATATGCATTGTGTTACTAATTACTTACGTATTGATATTAACTGGTCCTGTAGTAATTGTCGTATTTTTAACTAAAATTCATTTAATAAATAAAGATAATAGAAAGTTAACATTAATTTCTGTAACATTTTATAATAAGAATTTATCAGCTTTTGTATTGATTTGGAGTAATTTAGATGAGGCCGATTAGAGACCAAAGAGTGTAGAGAAATTTAGCTGATCAGCTCTATCTAAATTACTCAAAAATTATTCATTCAATAAGTAAAGATATAGAAAGTTATTGTCTAATAAAAATTTTTTAGCTTTTGTATTAACAGTTAAAAATATTAGTTTTTTACAAATCTTGATCAAAGTCAGCAGACAATTGCTGCGGTGCTGATTAACATCTCTGAACATATCAATATGTAACTATATACCGTATACTTCCGAAATTAAGCACCCTTTTTTTATTATAGGGGTGCTTAATTTTGGATAATTTTAAATTTTCTAATTTGATTGGATACTCGTGCAGATTTGTGCAGATTTGTATAACTATGCTAAAATATCATCTCTCATTGGACAAAGAGGATCACGCAACTTTTCGCCTGCCAATTAAATTACCAGTAAAAAAACTCAAAATCGCTAGTAATTCATAACTTTTACTTATCAAACCTTTTATATATTACTGTATTAAAAAAAATTTTTAGTAGGTCTTGTTTGACCTTTAATACTAACTAATGATATGCTTTATTTTTTGCCGTATTTGGTTTTTTTTTGGTAAAACAAACGTAACAATGCATGGTGTAACTATGTATAATTATTTTAAGACAAAATTTACGTGAAATTGCTTTAATCTTGTTTGTACATACAATATTGGAAAAAAATGAAACAGGTTAAGCCAAGCCATGTCTCATACTCTATTGAGCAAAAAAACAGAGTTATTAAGTATGCTAAAGAGAACAGAAGAAATAAAGCAGCAGTATATTTTAACCTTGATGCTAGTATGGTTGGTCATTGGATTAAAGCAAGCGCAAGTTGAGGTACTGAGATAAGTCAAGGTAGCAGGCATATTGGCTCTGGTCAGAAAGCATTCTATCCCGAAGCTGAAGAAAAATTATATACTTGGTTGATGGAATAGAGAAAACAGAGACTAGCAGTTACTTACACAATGTTGCGAGTTAAAATGTTAGAACTTTTAGAAGAATCTGAAATAACAAATCTATATAATTTATCAAAGGATTTTAAAACATCGGACTATTGGTTATCTGCATTTTTAAAAAGATATAAATTATCTTGGAGACGGTGTACAAAAATTTCCCAAAAACTTCCTGAACAAACTCAAGATCATTAAATAAAATTTATAACTTGGTTACTGAACTTAAAAATAAGAAATCATATGAGCTTTGCAATATACTTAACATGGATGAAACTCCCGTTTGGTTCGATATAGCAGGAAACTTTACAGTTGACCAACAAGAAAAAAAAATGATTCATATTCGTAGTACTGGCAATGAAAATAACAGGTTTACTGTTGTGCTAACCTGTGCTGCAGGTAAGTAAAGTTTAATTTAGCTAAATATAGTTTTTTTT